TTAAGTATACGCAGAACCCTTTTACGGGAAAAACTAGAAACAATCCATTTGGATACAGTTCCTTTGAACTAATTATTTAGAGCCTATCTGATTAGATTTTAGCGATAAAAGTCGATGCGTCCCACGAAATGTATGGTTTAAAGTGAATACAAGTTATGGATTAAATAAAATGAGTGGTTAAAAATGAATTTTAACTAACTTTTTAGTAGAAAGTAACTCCCTAAATTGAAAATAATCTTTGAACTTTTTGAAAATAGGTTAGGAACCCAAGATCGAATTTTAGCTTATTAGTTTGACTTGGTTGACTTCACTTATTAGTTTTTGTAAGAAAAATAAGATGGCTCCCGAGCTCACTTCATTTGTTAGAACAAGCTTGATAGTAGTGATCTCAGCTAATGAAAGGTTGCTTTGATGCTAGAGAAAATTTATGTATTAAACCCAAAGAAGGGCAAAAATATTTCCCATAGAATATTCTATCCACAAGAAATCAATATCCAAAGAGGATAAAAATTCTCAAAGTACGTTGCTAATTGTTCAATCTAACCATCCTCCCAAGCTTATAGAATTGTGAATTTTTTTTATAGTATCCACAAAAATCATGGGCTTGTTGGCGCAAAACCCCCCTGTTTGAAACCTGCCAAGGTGGAGGAGGCACATTTTAGGTGGGGGTTATGCGTAGCAAGTCTAATAGGTAGAGGTTTTGCGCCAATCAACCAAAATTATGCTACATAAATGCATGGAACTTCCTCAAACTTATACTATTTTAACTTTTCATGGTGAAATTGAAGGTGACTATAGCAATGGAGATTGTACGAAGGAATAAAAATATTGTATCATTTAACGACTTGTTAAAGCCTGAGACAACAGCCTCATGGTGGAAGCGCGCCATTATGAATGCTTCCAAAGTATGAAAAAGATTCATTCTTATAACTATTTTGTATTAGTATTTAATTATGTCAAAAAAGTTGAAAAAACTTAAGAAAACGAGAAATATATATAACGAAAAATTAACAATTTAGTGGCTTAAATAGATGATTGATTTGATAATGACTGCATCTAATGATTTGTCCTTAACATATAGATAGGTAGGCAAGGGTTTGTCTATTGATACCTGTTGGAATTTTGCTAGAAATTTTGTATTATTTGATGAATGAAAAATTAAGTCAAACTTAAATCACTTAAATACGTGAATTATTGGAAAAATGCATAAAATATTATGAAATATTCTAGAAATTATTTGGCCGAAAAGATGTTTTTCTATATGAAAGATTATGACTTTTGACATTATCATTTTCTAAGAGACGTGTCTCTTTAAATATAAAGACTAATTCCAATAGTTGTATCTCTTTCATAGGTTGTGTCTTTTGAGACAAACATTTTCAAGATCTATATATTGACCCCATATGTTTGGATTTAATCATTCAGGAATTTCAATTCATTCCATAATTCTATATTATTCATTTCATGTCAAGTTACTTAAAATACTTTGTAGAAATGATTATATCTTGCATCAAAGTCATGTTTATGGTAGAGATGGAATTTCGTTCGAGTTCGCTGGTCGAAGTCGTTTTGAGTACTTCTATGGCTTGACGTGGTGTTGTATATTGGGAGATGATTGCTGAAAAACCGTTAGCACCAATGCGGGCAAATTCATCTTAACGACCAAGGGTCAAACACTTGTCCCGACCAAAAATTCATCACTTACATCTTTCTTCCTTCATTTTCTGATTTCTCTTAATTATGGTTTGATTTCAGAAACTGATTAACATTATTTACATGTTTGTTTTGCGAGATTTGATTCAAAGAATAACTTACTTTTATTCAAGAATCGAAAGTGATGAATCCATATTCATGCATTTTGATTCGGTAACTATTATTGTTTTTGCTTCTCAAATTCTATTTCGGTAAGTTGAAATTACGTTTCAATTTCATGCAAACAAATGATATGCTTTTGTGAATATAATATGTACATAATCAGTGTATTCCCCAACAATCTTAAGATAAATTTTGTGTTCGTTGTGCATTGTATATTCTGTTTCAAATTTGCCAACCGTATTACTCACTTAAGGGAACAAATTGGGTTCTGTTTAAAAGCTGCAATTTGAAATTTTGCTATATTTGTATCATAAAACGGAAATAAAATCCGAACCGGTGCGTTCATGGAAACCCAATATTATGTGAAAATACAAATGGAGACGTTTGAAGATAATTGTAATTATAGAGTTTCCTTCATCTTTGCATATGCATTTTTCCTTAAGTATGTGCAGATTTTTGCATGCATCTGGTAATATATTTCATGAAAATATTTGGAAAGACAAATGGCATGTGTAACTATAATTAAATGTATATGTTGCTATAATTTGAATCAATGGATTTACAAGTTATACGCATTTTTGAACACACATGTTTCATATACGTTTAACTATTTTCAATATTCATTTAAATCATTCAATTTGTCTATGATATAATTTTCGAAATGAGTTTTGAGAGAATATAAAACATTTATGGATTCGACTACCGAACAATCGTTGATGAATTTTTAAAATTAACTTGTTATCGAAATTTTTAATTTTTTAAATGATGTAAACTTGTTCCTGGCACCCAGAAACAATTTTGCTCCGTGCATCACGGAGCAAATGCTTTGTGATGCACGGAGTTGCTCCATCGGCGACTCTCTTATTTTTTTATTTTTTTTAATAATGATGCTCAGTGTCAATTTTTTTTTATTGGGTGATTGATATTTTTTGTGTCAATTTTTTTTTCATTAGGTTATTTATTTTTATTTTTTTTAAACCTATCACAAATCTTTATAAATCTTCTATATTCTCTCGAAGTTGATTTCAAAAACTATATAATAGATACATCGAATGATCTAAATGAATATCGAAAATAGTTGAACGTACATCAAACGTGTGTGTTAAAAAATGCGTATAACTCGTCATTTTTTTCTTAAAAAAATTAATTATTTTATTAATATTTATTATTTTTTCGAAACAATTTTCTCAATATAATTTCCTTTTTTCCTTGGTGATTGATATATTTTTTTATACAACTCTATTTTACCCTTATATAACGAAATACAGAGTATGTTAAATCATGTATATTGTTTATTATAACTTTATAATTTTTATATAACCTGTTTGGGAGGAATTTTTTACTCAAAAAATTGATTCTTTGATTGTTATTTCACTATTTTAGTCGTAATTTTTGACTTTTTATCTCACAAGTGGACCCCACTTTTCTTCTAACGGTCAAAAAATCAATTCTCAAAATCCCTCCCAAACGGGGTCATAGGTTATAAATTGTTATACTATTTTTCCTACTTTTCTCCATTTCTTTACTCAACATCTATAAAAAAATATATATAATTCTTTTCTTCATTCTTTTATACAACAAGTAATCAAATTTGTAGATTTATTGAGAGAAATAAATAGATATTTTGTTTCAAAATAAAAAAGTAGCTCATTAATACAATTTGAAAACACATGATAAGTAGCTTATTGAGAAAATATAACATAAAAAGAGTAGTACACAAATGTCTCAGGGCAATTGACTATGCTAGTCATTGAAGGATCCTAGTAAGACATATCGAATAACCTTATTCTTCAAAAAAAATAAAAATAAAAATAAAAATAAACGAAAACAAAGGAATGGGAGGAGCATCCTAACTCCAATAACTATTAGTATACAAGAAGACAATCCAAACTTCCACAGCCCAAAATTAACATAATTATTGCATCCCATCAAAATTTTGGCCTCAATAGCTATGACAAAATAAATAAATAAATAAATAAAATCCAAGTAGGTGAACACCATCCAAAACAAAAAAAATAAAAAAAATTGGAAGCCTATTTTTCAAAAATACAACAAAAGTTGCTATTTTTTACCTAAAAAGAATTAAACTACCATCTGGTTTTATTTAACACACGCAAGCACATATAAAATTTAAGGATATCATGGTATTTTCATCAAAGTTTGTTCATTAGTCACCGAGTTTACATCATTTAAAAAATTAAAAATTTCGATAATAAGCTAACTTTAAAAATTCATCGACGATTGTTCGGTAGTCGAATCCATAAATGTTTTATATTCTCTCAAAGTTCATTTCGAAAATTATATCATAGACACATCGAATGATTTAAATGAATATCGAAAATAGTTAAACGTATATGAAACGTGTGTGTTCAAAAATGCGTATAACTCGTCTTTTTTCCTTAAAAAATCAATTATTTTCTTAATATTTATTATTTTCGCGAGATAATTTTCTCAATACAGTTTACATCATTTTTTTTTATAAAAAAGTGTATGACGTCAATTTTTTTTTGATTTAGGATAAATATTTAAAACGATAGAAAGTAAGAGAATAACTATAATTGACGATTTGGAAGAGAAAATAACGGATTTTGACATCGAAAACGATGCCCACCCAACGAAGCTTGGCGGCCAGGACATGCGCGTCCAAAAGAGCTTTCCGAAGTGGGGTCATGGGCGCGATTCTGATAACCGTAGCAAAAGTTATAGGTAAATTCACCAAGGAAAAAAGGAAATTATATTGAGAAAATTATCACGAAAAAATAATAAACATTAATAAAATAATTGATTTTTTTAAGGAAAAAAGGACGAGTTATACGTATTTTTTAACACAAACGTTTGATGAACGTTTAATTATTTTCGATATTCATTTAGATCATTCGATGTATCTATTATATAGTTATTGAAATCAACTTCGAGAGAATATAGAAGATTTATAAAGATTTGTTATAGGTTTAAAAAAAAAAAAAAAAACTAAATAAATCACCTAATGGAAAAAAAAAATACAAAAATTGATACAAAAAAATATCAATCACCCAATAAAAAAAAATTGACACTGAGCATCGTTGTTTAAAAAAAAAAAAAAAAAAAAAGATCCGCCGACAGAGCAACTCCGTACATCACGGAGCAAATGCAAAATTGCTCCTGGGTGCCAGGATATCTTAAACCTCAGGCATAATCACACTACCCTTGATTAAAATTCAGTGAATAAATAATCCATAAAAACTTGCAACGAACAGGAGGTATTTTAGATCAATTTTTCTAGAAGAAATGCTATACAAACTCACAGCAATATATATTATTTTCATTAAATTTGTTAAATATCACTATATAACAAAAAATTTCATCACATTCGGCAGTTAAATTTATTTCAGGCAACCGTTCTAATATCCTCTAAAGAGCTTTATGACTTTAAAATCGGAACTGACCTTTTAAAATTCATTGAAATAAGAAGGCTTAGTAATGTAAGTGCATTTAATGGAAGTAACAGATCTTTCAAGAATCATTCAACATCCATCTTTTCCTCCATTTTGTTCCTTCTTTTTCACAACGAGATAACAAAGATTGCACAGATTAGCAAATATATGTTTACCTTATAATCTATTAGTTCAAGAAATATGGCAGAGCTCATTGATAAATCTCTTAATTTCATATAAATGTCAATTCGTGAGTCATTTTAGAAAAACAAAGGCATGGATACTTGTATCAAGTGAATAGAAAAGTCGGTTTTAACAAGTTTAAAAACAATTAACTTACCATAAAGAAGGTTTTCTAAGCTTCCATTGCTCATGAACTCATAAACTAACATTCGCTGTCCTTTGTCAACACAATATCCAACTAAATTCACCAAATTCCGATGATGCAGCCTAGCAAGCAGAGAAACCTACAGATATTCAAGACAAAATATGGTATGGGAAAGAAAACCAACATATCAAGTAACACTGGTGATTTCAGATCTTTTGATCTTTACATCTAAAATAATATAAATTGCATTCCCCGTAGACTTCTGCTTGGCACTATAATATTCTCTTTTCACAAACTTGCAGGTATTATCAGGCAACATTTGCAACTTTTACACAGCTCTTATTTCTTCATCTCTCTCTTTCCTGACAATCAGGAAAGAAAGAAAGAAATCTATCAGATTTTCAAGCGGTATTCTTAGTTGCTTGTGATAGCTATTCCACATACTAGAATTAATTGCACAATTACTCCATTAGTAGAACTAAAGGGCGTAAGTGGAAAATATAAAAGCTTATCTGAAAGCTAAGTAATAGACGGATATTTGTAATTTAGCATCAAGATTAAGTAAATACAATCAACACAGCTACTACCTCTGTGTGAAACTCTTTTTCCCCTTGTTTAGAATCGGAAGCAAGAACTTTTACAGCAAACAGTTCACCAGTTGGCATTGCAGCTTTATACACTGGACCAAAAGAGCCCTGTCCTAGAATAGTTGTGAAGTTCTGGGTTGCGTTCTGAATGTCTCTGAAAATCCACAAGGAAATAGATCAAGCATTCCACGCTACGCTTTAAAAATGGTGGAAAACAATTTTCGAGAAAAAAACAAAATCCAAATTTATCCAACCCTCCCTCCATCTCTCCCTGCACCCTTGCAGTGAAATCCCCAGGGTTTCAGTGACTGGCTTATAAGGTATCACTCTCTTTCATCCAAACACTACCCGTAGCAATGAAAATTGAACTGGTAAGCAGATAGTACTTGTAAAACTAGCGACTTTTGGTCTCGGTTCTTGTATATATACCCATTTAAGAGGGTACAGAGTAACTTTCGTATTCTGTTGATTGGGCTACCTCTCTATTCTTGGCTGGCCCAATCTTAGTAATATTGGGCCTTACCGGGTTGGTTGTTTCAACGGGTTGAGATTGGTTTGGAAATGAAAAACGTTTTTTCGGAAACGCCTTTTTTCCTTTATAATGGGCAACTGTTATGGACCTTACACTTGGCATCCTTGTGATCGTTGGATCCTTGTTTTTTGCTGGAGTGTTAAAAGTCTTCTGACCCTTCACTTTCGCCCTAATCTGAGTGAACGATTCTAGGGTTTTCTTCGTCTTCTCTCTGAGGGTTTCTGGACTCTTCTGTTCTTGCAATTTTCTGAAAGCAATCTCTAATCTGAGTGATGTTAGGGTTGTATTTGGTAGATGATCCATGAGATTGTAGAAAACTGAGTATTGTGTTAAAGAGAGGCAAAAGAAAACTAAAATTGAAGGAACTGTCATTTCTTCATACATTCTTGTATTGATTCTTTGTGATTCTTATTGGATTTGAGCCTAATCTACTTTTGTATATGCTCAACGGGTGAGTAGGCCTTTTGGTTGAACATCCGGGCCCTTAGGGGGGAAAATTCTTGTGTTCTTTACGATTCTGTAATTCTTTATTGTTTGCTGCAATCGTTTTTAAGTGAAATAATAATCCTGAGACCAACAAGTGGTATCAGAGCAGTTTACGAAGGGTTATGGTTTTTTCTTTGAATTTTCTTTTTAAATTTTTTTTTAAAAAACCCTAGATCTTATATTTTTTGGTTAAATTTTAAATCGAGTACACTTTGTGAAAATCTCTTACAAGATTTACCTTCGGTTCAATTTTTTGATGGATCTTTTTCAACTGCAAACTTTGTGATACTTCTTTGTGATATTATTTCCGATGATTACTGTATTTTTCTTGTTTTTCTGAGGCTTCTGAATCTTTAAGTAATGTTTCATAAAGATTCGTACTGAGTAACAGTGAGTCAACTAGACTCATTCCAATTCCTGCTGATTTCTTGTGACTCACTGCTGAGTCACACTGAGTTGCTGTAACTCATTGGCTTCTTGTGTGATAACCTGGATTGTGCAACCGGTTCTGGTATTCTCTTAATTATCTCCTTCATTCTGTAATATTGTGTTTCAATCTTTGGTATAAGTTCCTTACTTTCTTAGTTTCTCAGTTAACTGTTTAGATAATATACTATACATAGAGTTGGTCATTAAGGTAATAGATCTTCTGCTACCTTCCTTTGTCCAAGGTCTCCTGCGAGGACCTGGGAATTTGAGGGGGTAGTGGGTTGAACAGGTCATCACTCCTTAGACCCTCTTTCTAGTTGGTATCTATATCTTTACATACTCCTGTTGAATATCTGCACATTCTTAATATAAGATTCTCATATTGAAATCTGTATTGTTTACTCTCACTGTCTGTACATACTATATCCTGTGTGATATATATATATATATATAAGTAGAAATTTGGAGAGGGATTGGAGATTTTAGTTTGTGGTGCCAGAAAATAAGGGCTCTGTTATTACAACAGAGGTGTGCTGGGGCCATTAATGGGGTATGGCCTGCTGAGATGAGTGCATCAGGAGACAGGAGTTAGATGAGATTGCCTGGAGTTCAATTTTGTTACATCTGTCTAATAGTGTAATAAGAAAACTTGGGGAAACAACTACTACTCAAGCCTTATGGACCAAACTTGAATCCCTCTACTTGACTAAATCTTTGCCCAACAAATGTTATCTTCTTAGGCAATTCTATAATTTTAGATTTAATCCCTCCTTAAGCCTAGAAGATAATTTTGATAAATTCACTAGATTGATTCAAGAATTGACTGACTGTGAAGAGGGATTATCTGAAGATCAACAAGTTGTTGCTCTGTTAAATGCACTAGGTGATAAATACAGAGAACTGAGAAATGCTTTAGTGTATGGGAGAACTGACCTTACTGTTGATATTGTGATATCAGCTCTAAGAAATAAAGAACTTGAACTTAAGACAGAATCCAAAGACTTTAAGTTTGGGGAAGGTTTGAATGTAAGAGAGCAAGTAAATCAGAACAAAAAGAATAATCAATGTAACTTTAATTCACACAAGAAGGGAAAGCCTCAATTTCCTAAATTCAGAAATCAAAACAAAAATCAATCAAAACCTAAGTTGCCAGCCAGAAAATGTTATTACTGTGGTAAAACATGACATCTCATAAAGGACTGTTTTAAGAAAATATCTGACATGAAAGGTAAACCAAATATAGATGGGTCTGCAGCTGTTGTCTGCAATAATGAACCTGATATACAGGGAGTTGTTTTTGTTACCACAACCAAAAGAAACCAAAATGAATGGGTTCTTGACTCTGGGTGTTCATTCCACATGTGTCCCATTAAAGAGTGGTTCACTGATTATACTGACTTGTATAGTGGGGGTCAAGTTTAGATGAGGAATAATATGACCTGTCAAATAAGAAGTATTGGAAACCTTAAGTTGTTATTGAAAAACAACAATATTCTTGAATTGTCTCAGATCAGATATGTGCCTGATCTTCGAAGAAACTTGATTTCTTTGGGGCAATTGGATGATGAATATGAAATTAGGATTCATAAAGGACAAACTGTAATTAGTCTTAACTGTATAGAGATAATCTCTTCTCCTAAATCTAATGGAATCTTTACACTGCAAGCTAAGTCATTAATTGGAAATAGCTCTGCAATTGTAAAATCACATGACAATAAGAACCTAATTTGGCACTGGAGACTTGGCCATATTAGTGGAAAAGGATTAACAATTTTAAGCAAATTAAAATGTTTTGGAAAGGACAATATTGAAAAATTAGAATTTTGTAAAGATTGTGTTATTGGAAATTAAAACTGGAATTCACAAATCAAATTTTATACTAGAGTATTTACATACTGACCTATGGGGTCCAGCATCTGTAAATAATTTAAGTGGGTTCAGATTCTATTTGCTAATTGTAGATGATTTTTCAAGAAAATTTTGGATTTTTCTTTTAAAACATAAATCAGACACTTTCCAAAATTTTAAACAATGGAAACTGATGATTGAAAATCAAACAAACAAAAAGGTAAAAGCACTTAGAACGGATAATGGTCTTGAATTTTGTAATTTTGAATTTGATCTTCTTTGTAAAGAATCTAAAATCTTGAGGTACAGAACAGTAACACACACTCCTCAGCAAAATGGTATTGCTAAAAGGATAAATAGAACCTTATTGGAAAAGGTTAGGTGTATGTTGCTTAGTTCTGATCTTCCAAAAATCTTTTGGGGAGAGGCCCTGAAAACTGTCACTTATCTGATAAATAGAAAACCTTCAAGTACTATTAATTTTCAAATCCCTGAACACTTATGGTCTGAAAATTCTCCAGATTACCTAAAATTAAGGGTCTTTGGCTGTGCAGCTTACTCTCATCAAAATGTAGACAAACTTGAACCTAGATCTCAAAAATGTATTTTTCTAGATTATGGTGAAGAAAAAAGGGTCATAGATTATGGGAGAGAGAAAAAGGTGGGTTCAAGGTCATTATCAGTAGAAATGTGATTTTTGATAAAAGTAAATTCCCTTGTAAGATCCCCTCAACACGAAATACAGATTTGACATTTCTTGTTAAAGAAACTGTCCTGGATAGTCTAGAAGATAATTCTAATGAACCTAATAATTGATTGATTTGGAATCTATTCAATCTGATATAGATAAACCTCAAAATGAATCTGATGCTGAAAATCAATCTCAGAATATTGCCCTTGAAAATTATCGGTTGACTAGAGACAGAACTAGAAGAAATAGGTTCCCTTCTACAAGAATTAATGCAGATGAATTTGTAACATTTTACACTGAACTTGAATTTGTTAATTCTAAACCAACAACCTTTGAAGAAGCTAAAAATTGTAAGGAATTCAAACTTTGGCTGAAAGCCATCAAGAAGAAATGGACTCTTTAACTAAAAATAATGCATGGATCCTTGTCAATAGGCCTAAAAATCAGAAGGTTGTTGATTGCAAATGAGTTTATAAAATTAAAGAAGGTGAACCTAATTTTGGGGGCATTAGATATAAAGCCAGACTTGTGGCAAAAGGCTTTACACAAAGAGATGGTATTGACAATAAATTTTTGCACCTGTTGCAAAATACACCTCTACCACAATCTTACTTGCCTTAACAGCCCACTTCAACTGGGAATTAAACCAGCTTGATGTTAAGACAGTCTTCCTAAATGGTGACCTTAAAGAAATAATTTATATAAATCAACCAAAACGTTTTGAACTAAAGCCAAAATCTGATCAAGTTTGTTTATTAAAGAAATCTCTCTATGATTTGAAACAGGCACCAAGACAATGGTATAAGAAATTTTACTCTTATGTTCAAAATTTGGGATTTCTTAAGAGTAATTTTGACTCTTGTTTCTTCTTCAAAGGTTCAGGTGGACCTGATTCTCTCTATCTATTATTATATGTTGATGATATGCTTATTGCCTGTCATGATAAATCTGAGATTATTTCTGTTAAAGAAAAACTTAAATCTGAATTTGAAATGAAAGATTTAGAACAAGCAAAGTGAATTTTAGGCATGGAAATCAATAGAGATAGAAAGAATTTTGTTCTGTATGTAAATCAAAATTCTTATGTGAATAAGATACATGAGAAGTTTGCTATGACTAAGTGTAAACCTGTAACTTTACCTATTGCAAATCACTTCATACTTTCTAGTGAACAGTTACCTAAAATTGATAAAGAATATGACAGAATGAGTAAAATACCTTATGCAAATGCTGTTGGTTCTATTATGTACCTTATGATATGTACAAGACCTGACTTAGCTCATGGTATAAACATGCTTAGTAGATTTATGGCCAATCCAGGTGAAACACATTGGTTAGCAATCAAATGGATGTTAAGATATCTAAAGGGCTCAATTGAACTAGGATTAAAATTCCAAAGGTGTAATGAAGGCATTATCTTGAAAGGATATTCAGATTCTGACTTTGCAGGAGATTTAGATAAAAGAAGATCAACCTCCTCCTATGTGTTTACTCTTTGTGATGGTTGTGTTAGTTGGAAGTCCCAACTACAAAAACTTGTAGCTCTATCTTCCACTGAAACTAAGTATATTGCAGCATGTGATGCTGTTAAAGAAGGTTTGTGGTGAAGGGGGTTATTAAATGAAATTGGTTTCATGAATGAAACGGTTAGAATCTGTACTGATAACCAGAGTGCAATTCACTTGAGTAAAAATCCTGTATATCGTGATAGGACTAAGCATGTTGATATTAAATTTCATTTTGTTAGAAATATGGTTGAAAAGGGATTAATTAACTTTGTTAAAATCCCAACTAAATTTAATCCTTCTGATATTGGTACTAAAGTTTTATCTCTAAACAAGTTCAGAAATTGTCTGAAAATTCTGAACATACTTTGAAGGTAATAAATTCAATTTGATATTTGAATTTTACTTGTTGTTTTTGAAAATCAACTGACTATTTTTCATTTTCTTTTTACAGGTTTTATAGAGCAAATGAAACAAAAATTAGACCAAGTTTGAATCTATGAAAGAATACCAAGAATAGATCAGCAATGTGGAGAATGTTGATTGGGCTACCTCTCTATTCTTGGCTGGCCCAATCTTAGTAATATTGGGCCTTGCCAGGTTGGTTGATTCAACAGGTTGAGATTGGTTTGGAAATGAAAAGCGTTTTTTTGGAAACGTGTTTTTTCCTTTATAATGGGAAACTGTTATGGACTTTACACTTGGCATCCTTGTGATCGTTGGATCCTTGTTTTTGCTGGACTGTTAAAAGTCTTCTGACCCTTCACTTTCGCCCTAATCTGAGTGAACGGTTCTAGGGTTCTCTTCGTCTTCTCTCTGAGGGTTTCTGGACTCTTCTATTCTTGGAATTTTCTGAAAGCAATCTCTAATTTCAGTGATGTTAGGGTTGTATATGGTATATGATCTGTGAGATTGTAGAAAATTGAGTATTGTGTTAAAGAGACGCGAAAGAAAACTGAAATTGAAGGAACTGTCGTTTCTTCATACATTCTTGTATCGATTCTTTGTGATTCTTAGTGAATTTGAGCCTAATCTACTTTTGTAGATGTTCAACGGGTGAGTAGGCCTTTTGGCTGAACATCCGGGCCCTTAGGGGTGAAAAATTCTTGTGTTCTCTACGATTCTGTAATTCTTTATTGTTTGCTGCAATCGTTTTTAAGTGAAATAATAATCCTGACACCAACATATTCATTATCCGAAAACACCCATTTCATAATGCATTCCAAAAGATGAGTGTGCAGAAAATGTAGAATGAAGAGATAACAATCAAGTCATCCCCCTCCTTCCTAGTGACACAATAAGAGGTGACTTCAAACAATTTTGTTTTACTTTTCTCCGACATGTGCAAGGAAATAATTAAACAACAACACATACCAACTATTAGGTGTCAAGATCTCCAGAAACACTACATCAAAGGAACAGGAAAAAAGGGTAAAGGAAAGCGTAGCTCTAAGAAGTTGTGAAAATTGAGGCAAATTAATAGTTAAAGAGAACAAATGCACAGGGTCTTACATACTTGTAAGAGTATCTTGGTAGTCCAGAAGCTGAACCAAATCGACCTTTACTATGATTAATCCACCAGGAGTTTTGAGGTTTTCTGGCAAGATAATCTGATCTCTTGATAATTACAGAATTTGAAAGAGATGCACTTGACTCAATGCTTGTACCCAAACCATTTTCTCGTATAGGAAGGGTAGCAATAGAACACTCATTTGCATTGCGGGGAAGATGAGCAGGTTTCTTGTACCAACAAATGCCAAAGAGTATGAGCGATGCTATAAGAACGCCAGCAGCCACACCGATAGAGATGCCAAGTATAACCAAATCGGTTTTACAAACCATACTTTGGTTGTTTTTGAGAATCAGACAATGGAAACATCTTGTAAGCAGAGTTTGTCACTTAGCTAATTAATATATGTATTAGAAGCATATGTCCATTTGTGTTACAATAGAAAATAATAAACATGTAAATGTCTAAAGAGTTAAAAACAATGAAATTAATCATGATATTGAGTTGCCATCTACAAAAAATGAACTGTGACAAATTCTATGTTTTCAGATATATGCACATAGGCCGGTGATTTGGTTTCTATGATCCGTTACCTGTTATTATGATCGATGACATGTTACATAGAGAATAATACCCATAACCTATTCAAATGATCTAAGACATATGGCCTATGGCATATTGTATTGACCTGTGAGATGTACATACGAACTGTGATATGTCTATATGTGATATGTGACTTGTCCCTAAGTCTCGTGACCTATCTATAATTTATGTGACCTAACCATAATGTTCGTGACCTTTTTATATGGTATGTGACCTACGGTATGTGATTTAGAGCACACGATATCATACATATGCAGAATGATATATAATCTTGGCATATTTTCTTAGTTAATGACGCGTCGAAGATGCGAGCTCATGGCACCATATCTTATTGCCTATGACGAATGAACCAATATAGTAAGACAGCTTAATAACATTGTTAGTAGCTTTAAATTTTTTCCTATAAAGAAAAACAAATAACGAATTATTTAGATTCAAATAGTTCTGGGTCTGAGTTCGTAAAATAATATCATACGTACTTTTTAGTTGGTTTTATAATGCCAAGTCTTAAATGCTGCAACAACATCACATGCATGCTGATTGTAATATCGAAAACTATAACATTCTCTGAACTCTTGCTTTATTTTTCTTCATTAGAAACAAACGCAGACTGTAATATTCATGTCAGTCTAAAAACCCACTTCACCAGCAATTCAAATGTTAGTACAGAAGTGGGGGATATCTATCAAATAATGTAATATTAAACACTATAGTTAATCTGTAACCTATTGTACAATACATACTTTGTTTATGTAAATGGCTTTTTAACAATCTCTCGATGGGCGATCTCTGTGTCCATCACTACACTAGCAATTACAACGTCCACTTGTCCTTGTACTTTTTTGGATTGAAACATATCAAACATTTTAACTACGTTTGAAGTAGGTTGGGTAGAGCAAATCTCCAAATAAAATCACGGCATTTCAATCATTAGCAAGTTAAAATTTCCTCCTCAAGCTTTCTTTTCTTGTCCATAGTTTTTTTAACATTTTTTTCCCTACATATGATGTAAAAAATGAAGTGTCAAAAAGTTAAATATGAAATATGAAAAATGTTGGTAAGTAGCACGTACATACTTCTTCCTAAAGGTTTGTAGCTCTAGGGCTATGCGATTTGCTTCTCTCGCTGAATTTTTTCAATGTGTGTTCCATCGAGCTCGATATCATTGCGGTCACAAATCTACGGAAAGTTCAAGTTTGACTTGATTTCTCCTTACATACGGACAGTAATATTCATTGTGGTTCATTTCTACCTTGATTGATGATATTTGTGCCTTGAAATCATTGATTTGCATAGACTACTCTTTATTTTTTGATTGGAGTTCATTAAATCCCTTTTTCAATTTTGCCAACACCTATAAAATGTGGCATACATCAGTGACACAAGAAGAATGTAAGATGTTGATATAAATCAATGATATGTGACCCATGTACATTTGATTGTGACCTGTACATTATGACATGTGATCAGTGACAGGAAGAATGTAAGATGTTAACGTAAATCAATGATATGTGACCCATGTACATTCGATTGTGAACTGTGACACGTGATCAATGCATGTTAACGTGTGACCTATGTCAATAACATGTGACCTATACACTGTGATACATAACCAGGGCATATTCACATGTGACTTATGTAACATTAACTTGAATTAATTAGCCGTGACCAATCACATTCATTTGTGACTTCTGCAAAATGAACCGTAACTTAGTATTAGAATGCAAATTTATAAAAGAAATATGATCTTTGACCTAGAATGAGCATGGAGATTGAAATGTGAAACATGAACTCTCAAGATGCAGAATTGAGTATTGATGATATTTCACCATATATAACTACACTAAAATTAAAACGAACAACTTACATCAAATCCAGATAATTGTGTTGCATGAGAAAGAGGCATATCAGTTGATGAATCGTCATCCATCGGAGAATCAATGTACACAGTCTACGGCTCCATCAGAAGATCCATGGAAGAATAAGCAAAAACTGATGTCATTTGTCTTCTCGGAGGTGGATCAACAAAATCATCGTCGTCATCATCCTCGATGTCGCTTGAATGCCCCAATCTTCCACGAGTAATCATTAGAATGTGTGTTTTGGACTTGTGGATTGATGGTTGGACATTTGAACTTCTGCCTATGGAACACCATCCATATATGTCATCAACATCTCCAACTCACACGAACTAATGTCATTTACTACCGACTGTTACAACAAAATAAATAAAAACACTTATCAACTAAATTTTTAGCCTATGATTGCATAATATGAACTGTGACTGTATAATGTAGTGAACCATGACCTGATAATGTGAATTGTGAGCTATGCATGCAAAATGTTAATTGTGACATGTGAATTGTAACTTATTCGGCGACCTATGACTGCATAATATAAACTATGACTAAATTGTGACTTATTTATATGTCACATATGAACTGTGTGACATATTACCTGTGCCTTATTTATATAATACACAAAAATAGTTTATATCATCTTTATATAATACACAAAAGTAGGTTATATAATACACAAAAGCAGTTTATTATTTATATAATACACTAAATTGTACATCTTAACTTTAGTGCCTAGTCATCTTTGTTTACATCATCTTCATCAATTTATATCACTTTCTCGACCGTGTTTGGTGTAGATTAGAATCAAATATTTAGTAGATTTTGATTTTAAAAAAAAAATGATAAAATTGTTGGATTTTTGAGAAAATATTTTTTCCTTCATTTCACGTGATTTTTTATCTTGTTTCCATTTTTGTAGAATTTCTAGGGTTTGGCATACCCCCTTTAAATATTAGACTCTTTTCACAAGTTTTGTATTACTGAAATATAGAATAGTTGTATAGGCACAATTATTATATATTTTTTTATATTAGTCAATTGAATAAAATACTTGTTCCTTTGTCAATTAATTCTTAGCCTTTTATCTTATTGTTTGTTTGAGATCATATACTTCATATCGTGTCATATACATTAAGTCATTCCGTTTTATTCCCAACAAAAATGTACGGTCAAAAATTTGTGGATCTTATTAAATATATGGTTAAAATTACAAGATGATTTAGTGTTGGTAATCTAATTTGTTTCCCGACATTTCTTCTCTATTTTTTTGCTTTTTCTTCTATATAAAAATAATATATCAAGGAATAATTGAAGTGGTAAGAACGAAATTTTATCAGGTACCTTTCCTGTGAAATCTGAACGTGCCGTGTCACATTTTTCATCACCTTTTTCTTACACCCTAACTACTACCATTATTCTATGTCGAATATGAAATACCACGCAAAAGATCAGTCCATGAAAAAGCTGAAACACAATTTTGAAGAAAAAACGCCATGGATAATAGACCCAAAATTGTTTGGTGGGGAAAAAATAGCATATTTGAAATATATGGCTCGTCAAAATCTCATCAAATTACTTGTGAAATCTGTGATGGGATTCAAGCTTTACTTCCAAAACATGGCGGGCTTTAATAAAGAGTGGTAAGTTCATGTCTGTGCATCTCAACCGTGAACAAAGATAATCGAACATATAGTGGATTTTGTTTAAGAATAAAATCCCAATTTACATGTTCACAAAAACTCTGATTTTTCCCAATCATATTCCAGAATGGGAAATACTATCCTTTCATAGACCAAATTAGCAATTTCTTTACTGTACAGGCAATGCAGCTGTATTTTCAATTTTTCATCCATATATTTGCAGAAGCCATGAAAAACTATAGGGAAATTTCCTATTAACATAAGAGGAAAAATGTTCATCTTAAATTTCATCGATGCTAGTCATCTTCCTCAACTCCAGTTGCTGAGTTTCTATCCGGCTCATTGCTCTTGAAAGATCTTCTCCAACTAGAGACATGGTATCTTCTTTAACGAGACGCCCATTCGTTATCTTTAAAATAGCCTGTGACACCTCTACTATTGAAGGGCGCTTTCTAGGTATTTTGTGTAAGCATTTGTGAGCTATTTTGGCCAAACTCCTCACTTCTATGGGGTTGCATGTTCCAACAATCCGAGTGTCAAGTATTTCGTCAACGCCATCTGGACTCATACTGGCCTGAGAGGATGTTAAATGAAGAAATGAGAACAAAGAAAATTCAATCGCATAAGAAGAGAATAGGGAACGTTGCAGTGTCTGCTGCTTATCGCCCAAGTTACAAGTTGGTCCTAACCTTTACAAAGAACAAGTTCGTCCTCGACCTTTAGCTCTTATATAGTGTGCCTTTTAAGTTAAAAGGATTAAAAAAAAAAAAAAATTGTTTAAGTTAAAAGGGGGGGAAAAAAAGGATCTTTTATCAATATCTGGACAGTACCGACAATTGCATGTACTTTTGCAACAACAGTTTGAGCACTAATTTGTTCCTTTTTTAAGGACGGGGACCAACTTGCTAGTCGGGTCAGTAAGTAGCATACCTCTGCAATTTTCCTATAAAGAGTAAGGGAAAAAGGTCTGCAGAGAAAATTTGGAAAAGATAACTTTTGAAGTTCTTATCAAAAGCCTTACGAGGTTAACATATTCCATCAAGTTTTGGTGTGGGTGAATGGTCGTGATGAGCTCAAAGAGGATAACACCAAAGCTATAGATATCACTTTTTATTGTAAACTCGTTTGTGGATATGTACATGGGATCAATATACCTGAATTACGGCCGTCAAAAACCTCTTCCTTTGACAACCCAATATCAACAACCTAGACAAGATGATGCATATATAAGCAGGCGCATATCCAACGCCTGGCAAGCACTCGCGGCCGCGCGTGCTAGATCCGTTAGGAGAATTTTTTTTTTTTTGTTGGCAACAGATTAACGTTTTACCTTATATTATTGGTAAGTCATTTTATTTTTAATCATCCATGTAGCTCAGTTGGTTGGAGGTTGCATATTTTTATATGACGTCTAGGGTTCAATCCCTTATTAAGGGATTTTTGTGCATTATTCATATTCTACAAGTTTTACCAAAATTTTTATGAAGATGGAGACAGAGGGATTCGAACCTACAAACTCTTGCAAAGGTGGTTGTCAACTTAACCATTGTGGCACTTCTTGATTTGTGTCACTTCATTTACAAAGCAATATTTATTAGGTTTTAACTAGTTTAAGCTAAGTACAATTATAAATATTAGAATCCGCGCTCTTCCTTTGAATTATATAAAACTTGGCAACAATGTCATTTTTATTCTTATAATAAAATTATATATATATTTAATTTGAACAAAATAATTGTTATATTTAAACTTTAGGCTTCATTCGATTCCCATTTTTTTCTTTTCTTTTTATTCACACATTCTTCAATAAAATAATATTATACGTAAATTCAAAAATTTTATTTATTTTTAGCCACACTTTCTCCTTGAAATCACTGTTCAAAAATGCATTTTTTACCAAAAAAAAAAGGTATCAAACGGACTCTTAATATTTTGTTGCGATCGGCGGTAGATGGTCAACGGCCGCCCGAGCTAACTCAAAATCCTGAATTCGCCCCTGTATATAAGGAAACATATACCATGACCTGATGGGCTATAGAAGGAACAATTAATACATTAATCTAGTTAAAAAGATCACATTTTTCAATGAATAATACTATCTAGCACCGCCAGTCTAGCTGACGCTAAATAATAGGTTCAATGAAATGTAGAATAAAGCGATTCATATAATTATAACTCTCGTTTAACATTATATTAGTACCATCTAGACTAGTATTTTAACTCTATTGGTGCTAAATAGCATTACTGTTTTTCAAGCCAACTCTAAATTGCAATAGTGATATGTTTGGCTAAGCTAAAAAAAAAACTTTTTTGTCTCCCTCCATGTCAGTATAGGCTTCAATTAATTACCTTAGCGCTCATAGAACGATCCAGTAATATGTTAGATGACTTCAAATCTCGATGATCACATGAGGCACAGCTGTTTTAAGAAATTAAGTCAAAATGATAAAACTCATCAGAAAAAAGGGTTACTACTAGTTATTTTATTATTTAACGTACCCCATCATGGAGATATTCAATCCTGTGTGAAATGTCTAGTGCTATTTGTAATCGTTCTCCCCAACTCAATGCTTTTTCCTCTTCATCTGAATGTGTGGTTAAACAAGTAATGTCGTAGTTGTAGAAATACAAAAGGAAACACAGAAAATTGCAATTGATTAAATATAAAAGTCTCACAATAGATTCAAGGAGTTCGGCAATGACCAATATACCAATTAATAATTTGCAGTCTCATCAAATACCCGTGTTGAAAAGACATAAAGAACAAACTAATAACCATTGCTTCGAAAATCGGAAGGATGACCAATAAGAACCTAGTAAATTGTGTGTAATGGTCAACTGGCTACAAGGCCATCTTCCTGAATAAATATGAACCAGAAATACCAAACTTGTTTCTTCACACCCGAAAACCCTCACCTTCCCCACCGCCTAAAAAAATAATGATAAAATCACAAAATGAAAAATTTAATATCATTCTTTAAAGGGGCAAGCGTGGTTTGGTTTATGAGTAAATTGTTCCAAGCTATTGATACAAAATGTTACTAGTACCGGTCTTTCTTCTATATACACAATTGTTTCAGTGGCAATACATGCGACTCAACTTGTACTTGTTACCCATACAAGCTATGCTATTTTTTGTAGATATGAGAGCTTCAGGTCTTTAAATTTGCAGTTTCAGCTGTTTTTTATTTTTTTTTTTTTTTTGAGGACATATTTTTGGTAATTTGGGCATAACTTTTGCTACGGTTATCAGAATTGCGCCCATGACCCCAATTCAAAAAGCTCTTTTCGACGTGCACGTCCTGGCCACCAAGCTTCGCTGGGTGGACATTGCTTTCGATGTCAAAATCCATAGTTTTTCCTTCCAAATTGCCAATTATAGTTATTCTCTTACTTTCGATCGTTCTAAGTCAAAAAAAAATTGACGTCATACTCTTTTTATAAAAAAATGATGTAAACTGTATTGAGAAAATTATCTTGCGAAAATAATAAACATTAAGAAAATAATTGATTTTTTAAGAAAAACGACGAGTTATACGCATTTTTGAACACACATGTTTCATATACGTTTAATTATTTTAGATATTCATTTAAATCATTCGATGTGTCTATGATATAATTTTTGAAATGAGCTTTGAGACTATATAAAACATTTATGGATTCGACTACCGAGCAATCGTCGATTAATTTTTAAAGTTAGCTTGTTATCGAAATTTTTAATTTTTTAAATGATGTAAACTTGGTGACTAAAAATAATTTAAAAGTTTATCAAGAAATTTTCTAAACCACGTAAAAAAATTTATCAAATTATTTACAAAATTAATTTTGTAGTCGTACTGATATATTAATTAAGTTGAAAAATTAAAATAGGATTGAAGGATAAAATGGGAAAATGAAAATACTTCACAAATGAACAATAATAACATATTCATTCTTATAGTGTAGGAATAGAGAAAAGTAGGGAAAATAAATACAAAAACCACTGAACTGCAGCAATTTTTTACTTTCTGAACAAACTTTGATGAAAATACCATAATATCCTCAAATTTTTTAAATTTTACACCATCACAAGGATATTTTGGACATTCCAAACAATTTTTGACTGACGGCCACAGATGTGGAATGCACGGGCTATGTTATTTTTTAGGTAATATTATCGTGTCAAAATATCTATTTATTTCTCTCAATAACAAATTTGATTACTTGTTGTGTAGAGGAATGAGGAAAAGAATTATATATTTTTTTTATAGATGTTGCGTAAAGAAATGGAGAAAAGTAGGAAAATAATATAACAATTTATAACCCATATATATTATAAAGTGATAATAAACAATATACATGATTTAATATACTCTATGTCACTTTATATAAGAGTAAAATAGATTTGTATAAAAAAAATATCAATCACCAAGGAAAAAAGGAAATTATATTGAGAAAATCGCGAAAAAATAATAAACATTAATAAAATAATTGATTTTTTTAAGGGAAAAAATGACGAGTTATACGCATTTTTTAATACATGTTTAATGTACGTTTAACTATTTTCGATATTCATTTAGATCATTCGATGTATCTATTATATAGTTCTTGAAATCAATTTCGAGAGAATATAGAAGATTTATAAAGATTTGCGATAGGTTTAAAAAAAAACTAAATAAATCACCTAATGAAAAAAAAAATTGTCAAAAAAAAATATCAATCGCCCAATAAAAAAAATTTGACACTGTGCATCATTATTATAAATAAAATAAAAAAGAGCCACCGACGGAGTAACTCCGTGCATCACAAAGCATTTGCTCGGTGATGCACGGAGCAGCAGAATTGCTCCTGGGTGCCAGGACTTGCTCCTGGCTCAGGAGCAATTTTGCTCCTGGTTTTGCTCCGTGCATCACAGAGCACTATTGTTTTTTTTTTTTTTTGTCAAATTTTTTTCCATTACGTGATTTATTTATTTTTTTTATAAAAATCTATCATAAATCTTCTATATTCTCTCGAAACTCATTTCGAGAAACTATATTATAAACACATCGAATGATGTAAATAAATATCGAAAATAGTTAAACGTATATTAAACGTGTGTGTTAAAAAATACATATAACTCGTCTTTTTCTTAAAAAAAATCAATTATTTTATTAATGTTTATTATTTTTTCGCGACAATAATTTTTGACGTTCCTAATAAACTTTTAAATTTTTTTAATATTAAAAGAGACATCATTTAAAAAATTAAAAATTTAGATAACAAGCTGACTTTATAAATTCATCGATGATTGTATAGTAGTCGAATGCAAAAATCTTCTATATTCTCTCGAAACTTATTTTGAGAACTATGTCATAGACACAAATACGGTAAAGTGCAAATATGATAAGTAGCTTGCAAATACGGTCGGCTGTAAATATTGTAAGCTGTATATACGGTAAGCTACCTACAAATATGATTTCGCTTAAACACTCTGTGCTGTGCGGAGTGTTGGCTCCGCACAGCGAGAGCGCAACACTTGCGGAGTGTTTCGCCCCAACACTCTGCGCTGTGTGAAGCGTATTCTTTATTTCTAAAATGTAAAAAGTTACTTATAAATAAAAAAATCACTTTAATTTATTTAAAAGTAGTAAAAAAATCTTATAATTGTAAAAACTACTTATAGATAAAAAAAAATATTAACTTCAACATTTTTAAGTAAATATTTAGAGTTTAAATTAAATATTAATAAAAAGATTACACTATTTAGAATGTAAAAAGTTACGTATAAGTAAAAAAAAGCACTTCATGTTATTTAAAAGTAATAAAAAAACTTATAATTGTAAAAACTACTTATACAGTTAAACCTCGATAAAGTAATACCCTCGGGACCGGAAAAAAATATTCATTTAACGAGGTTATTTATTTATCGATAAATGAATAAATTATTCATTTATCGATAAATAAATATTTATTATTTTAGAGAGAGCTTTTCAATATAAAATATGTACATTGTATGTGGTAAGAAAAATCAAAAGACATTAATCAAAGTATTATTTGAATCTAGGGAAGCTCAAAAGTTTTAGTGAAACTTAATGTCTCTAAAAACTAAGTTCACGTACATAGCAAATGAAAATGTTGAGTCTTTACCTATAAAAACTAGATGTTTGGAAGACATATTCCAAGCACATACAATA